GAGAATTGAGTTTTTGAGAAAAGTTTCACGCCTTAGTTGAAATTTGGATTAATTTGCATTGATTTTATAAGAAATGGGATTCAAGAGTTTATGATTTAAGTATTCTTTAAGATCAATTGGATTGGTTTAAGATTCTGTATAGGATTTGGGTTGCAGTATTAATAGTGGGCCTGTAAAGTGAGTTTTATTTGAGTTGCTCTTATGGTTAGATTCGTTCTGCCAAAGTTTGGTGAAACATTGCAACAACTGGCAACAATTTCGAATGTTTTACATGATTCAAGGGAAATTCTGGCCAGTTTGTAGTATCATTTACATTATCATGATTCCAAGAGTTTTGTGTTATTACTTCTTGTTTGATTTGCTTGAATGTAGGATTTACTGCTGAATAAAGCATATGGGTTCTGGGATTGTATATTTTGGGGCAGTTTTTAAATGAAGTAGCGAAACTGTTAACTATTCGACCAGAGGAGAATTGTCATAATCGGGTCATGAGAATCGATTAAATCCAAAAACATTTAGTAAACATGCTGTATCTACTGAACATTATACATACATGGAACTAAGGGTATGGTATTGAGAAACTGGATGCTTGAAAGTATGTGATGAGAGGATGGTTGACATCCATAGTGTCGCTAGATTATTTATGAATGGTCCAGCTCTTTGAATGTTTCGATTTGGGTTTGATAATGAGAACACCTTACGCATGACATATTCCTCTTTTCCCTTCATGATGAATCTCGTTAATTTCAGCTGTTCTTTTGCCTAGCATACTTTTATTCGTAGTTGTATCGACTCTTTTTTTTTTCTCAGATTTGTCTCACGTATTCTTCTCGGTTAGGCGGGAGCTCAATTTCCTTGATCATCGTAGTGACCTTGGATGGAAAGGGTAGGCAAAGCCCTTATCATGAATCATATATTTTCTTCCGGTGGAAGTTGTAATAGAAATCTGATTCGTATCGGTTTACTTTTGATTGCAGAGGTCAACGGTTCCAACCTATTGTAGTTGATCCAGCGATTTATCTAGCTAGGACTGAAATTTTTCATGCTACCGAGAAACGACCAATACCAGATGCTTTTAAGATATTCTTAGGCAAAATTTACTATCAATATCGTTGTCTGTTGTTGTTTGTGATATAAAAAAGTTATTACGACTGTTGTTTTCTTTGGAAATGCTTCTCATTTACATTTTGGTATTGAATTCAGGTTCCCCATGGGTCATCTTAAGCAGATCCTTCCTGGAATTTTGCATTCTCGGGTGGGACAATCTACCTCGGACCCTTCTGATGTATTTCAACAACGTTATGTTATCCGAAGAAAGCTATTTCCATTCCGTTATTTGCAATTCACCAGAGTTCAAGAACACCACTGTAAATAGCGATTTAAGATATATGATCTGGGACAATCCTCCAAAGATGGAACCTCACTTCCTCAATGTTTCGGATTATGATCAAATGGCTCAAAGTGGAGTAGCATTCGCAAGACAGTTCAAAAAAGACGAACCTCTGTTGGACATGGTTGACAGAAAGATCCTCAAGCGCAGCAGACGAAACCAAGTTGCCCCGGGTGCGTGGTGCACCGGCCGGATTAGCTGGTGGTCAGATCCCTGCAGGCAATCGGACGATGTAAATGTCCTAAAGCCTGGACCTCAGGCGAAGAAGTTAGAAGAAACCATGACAAACCTTCTCGATGATTAGAGTTCACAGTCTAGTCAATGCTCGTGAAGGTGGTGTCTGAAACTGTGAACTGAAAGGGGAATATTTCGGAGACTCGGTTCCATTCTTGTTGCTTCTGAATGTCATCGAAGGTTTGAAAGTATACCATAGAATGAGACTCATTCTTGGGCGGTCCATAAGTCAATTTTTTAGGGTTCCTTGATCCACAAGCTATGATTTTAAAGCAAGTGAATTGTGTTGGTAGGTTAAGGGGTTATAGTATTTAATGGTGAAAAGCCACAGCAGAAGACTCTTCAATGAGGAAAGAGGGCCTCCCTTTTGAGCTGCCATTTTGCATGATGCTATTGTACGTTCTATACACATTTTATTTAGCACGCAGATGTTAGAAGACAAATTCATTCACTGAGAATCCTCTTGATGTATTGATACCATTGTTCCTTCTCTCACACGGCATTCCACATTACTGCATACGATATGAATGCAGTGTGAAACTCTACCGCTGTTCAACCTTTCTTTGACCCTCAGACCACCAATATCCCCTTTCCCACACGGTATGGTTCGTCGACGATCCTGATGTCACTTTCTTGCCGCTGTTTTCTTCATCTATGAATGTCGTTGATCTTAAAGACATTTTTGACCGTACCCTGTTGATGTCTACAATCTACTTCTAAGTCGATTACCCGCTGAATCAGTTGCCAATTTCATCTACATTACGGATATCAGATCTGAATCCACTACTCAAATTAGCCGGCAATTGTTTTTCTTATTAACTCGTATCTGCAAATTCTCAGAAGTCATTTCCTTCATTGGTGATTGTGTTGCTCTTCGTCGGAAGTTATTTCCGATACTACCGTGGACATCACCATCTCAAATCTTCGTAACAAAATGTTTCAGCATCACCTTCACTGCAACAATGACAATGATCTTCTCACTTATTTGCATTGGCATTCAATCAAGAAAGAAACATACCTACTAATCCTTGTGCTTAAGGCTCTAACTACAGTTGATTAATCCTTGATAGCCTCTTTGAATGCTTCAGACATTGTAATACACCGTGCACTGCCACTCTTCTCAAAAGCTGCAACTTGAGAACCGTCATTCTTTTATGGATATGGTTTTGTTGCTTTAATTGAAGAATGAAGTACGAGAATGAAATAATAAGACGAATATCAAGAAAAGATAGGTGCTCCATTAAATAGAAAGGAAGAAAAAACATATGATGAATGTTAGAATGTAACTAAATTGAAGAGAAAATTACACATTTAGTACTTAAACTATCAATTGTGGTTCGTTTTAGTACCTAAACTTTCAATTTTTTCAAAATCATACCTAACGTTTATTTTTTGTTTCATTTTAGTACCTCTCGGTTAAAAACTTAATGGTTTTTATGGGTAAATTACATTATTCATCCCTCAACTATCTTCTCACTTCTATTTTAGTACTAAAGTTTAAAAATTTTCAATTTAACAACTCAACATTCAAATTGCTCCTATTTTACTCACTCTAATTTATTTTATTAATAATTTTTGTGACATGACATTTTTATTATTATCTTATTAATATATAATTAAAATAAAAAATAAATTTAAAATTTAGAGTGATTAAATTAGGAGTAATTTGAAAATTAAGTAATTGAATTTAAAAAATTAAACTTCAGTGACCAAAATAGAGTGAGAAGATAGTTGACTAATGAACGATGCAATTTACCCATAAAAAAGTGCCATGTGCAAATCACCCGTTAAGTTTAACGGCAAGGTACTAAAACAAAAAAAAAACTAAACGTTAGATATGATTTTGAAAGAAAAAAAATGAAAATTTAGGTACTAGAACGGACCAAAATTGATAATATAGATACTAAACGCGTAATTTACCCTAATTTTATCGAAACAATTTTTACGTTTTTGTTCGAGATTTTGAAAGCCGCGTTATTTTTAATTAGGATTGAGTTTTAATTAAAAACAATGCGATTTTAAAAAACTTCTCATTTCGAAAATTTGGAAATTCCTTTACGATAAAATTATATGGTTCGAAGAGTCGCCACCAATCTTTGATTGGGGTGTGATTGGACACCAAAAACGTTGTAATTTTATAAAATAAAATGACAAATTTACGGTCTACGTTACCAAAATTCGAGTTCGGGAGTCGGTTACGTGTGGGGAAGGATTAACACTCCCACAACGCCCTAAATCGGTACCTAGTCGGTTAATTAATGTCTTTGCAACAAATTTCACAAGTTCGAGTTTAATTTGATTTACGATCCCTTAAAACAACAATGCAAATTTTATAAAATTCAAAAGCAACGAAATAGATTTAATTAAAACTATCAAATCATTAGAAAGATAAAAAATATTAAAACTATCAAATCATTAGAAAGATAAAGAATATTCGATTATTTACAAATATTGAGACCAGACCTTTAGGTGAGTTCTAACGATCTTTTCTCAACAAATTTAAATAGTCGAATATTCTTTTTTCTTTCGTTCCTAAATTTTAAGGTGACAAACTATTTTTTAAAGTGTCAATAACAGGATACTCTTTTAATTTAAAATCGTCGAAAACAACTATCTAGTGAGTTAAGAAAAAAGTCATTCCGACAATTTTAAATTAAAAGAGTATTACCCTTAATCAAATTATATAATAAGAGTCGAGTTGTGCACTTGAAGGTAACATACGAATTAACTCAAAAAACGATTAACAAATAATAGATAATATATGAAGAATTATCATGCAATAATATTTTAATGTCAAAAAAAAATTCCACATTTTATAAATATACATTACGACCTATTTATATATTAATATGTAATTCACAAATACGACTTAAATGCAAAGATAAAAACATAATCTACCAAACTATAAAAGAAAGCCATACATATTAAACCATTAACTAAATTATATTAAACATAATTTTACTATCTAGGATACAAACAAAATGCCAATTGAAATGATCATGAATAGCATACTGCATACAATAAACAATGAAACCAAAATGAAACCAGTCATCACCATAAGGGACTAAAATTATAGTAAACCCTAAATACACCTAGGACCAAAACGAAACATGCAAAAACTTGGAGCTCTAATGTCTAAATGACAAAAACAAAATAATCAGTTTTATGACTAAAATCAAATAAGACCGAAATACAAAGATCAAATTATAAACACAACAGACCCGACTTAAGGACTAAAATGAAACATTCCTAAAACTGATGGACATCGCACGTCATTAACCCATTCACTTGCCACGGGCCAACAAAACGCTGCCGCTTCATTAAGCTATTATACATATAATTTTAGGTTAAAAATTAACCCTAAAATTCATTTTTACCCAGCTTCTAAAACTCTCCCCCGCCGTTTCTCTTTACTCTCTCATCCCTCTCAAACGCTCGACCCCGGAGACCAAAGACAGAACAATACACCATACGCCTAAGGTAAAACGACCCTCTTCCTCTCTTCTACTTTGTTCTCTTGTAATTGTGTTTTATTAGTGTATGTTGTTGGAATTTCTAACTGTTTCAAAATAAAGACATACATGGATTAAACTGGAAATCAAAAGAAATATAGAAGATACCAAAAAATGTTATTTTCCTTCTATTTCTTCTCGGCACAATGAGGGTTGGGTTTCCTCTTACAAATGTTCTTCGAGCTTTCGAATCGGGAGAGGATTTACACTGATGAGGAAATTTTTTACTGTTCTTTCTATTGATTCCCGTTTCTTTTCTTTGTTGATGAATTCCTCCTTTGATTTTCGTTTAAAATCCCCCTGTCGTTCCCAACTGTTCGTGACCTCCGTATATGCTCTCTGTTTTTTTCGGTGTTCTTGGCCTGCCCCCTTTCCCCTCTTTGCTGTCTGTATATTTTTTGAAATGTGTCTCCCCCTTCTTCGCGTCGCAGCTTTCTCCTCAAGCCATCACTCACGACAGCCACCAAGGCCGAGACTAAGCCAAACCAAATATCTTACAACAGAAACCAAAACCGAAGGACTAAAACGAACCCAACCTCATTGCTAAACCACGGGGCCACCGCGACCTCCAACGTTTCAACGGACTCCGATGAAGTCCCTAAAGCCGAGAAAGGCTAACTCTAAGGTAACTCCGACCCCTCTCTTCATATTTACCTAGTTTATCTCGAAATCAAACACACACACACACCAACCATGAACACCTACTGGAAAGTAAATAAAATGAGAGAAATACCTCTTAATACTTTCCCTTTTTCTGGATTGTTCTTGATTAATGCTCTGTGTTTTTTTTGCTGGAAAATGCTACTGCCCTTTGTCAAAATTGATTTTCGGTTTGGGGAGTAAAATAAAACGAAACTTGCTTCTATTCCTTTCAGAAAAGAGGGCCGAATCCCTTTCACACACTGTTTTCTTCCTTACAACGAATTCTCTTTTTTTCTGTTCGTGAATCTCTTTTTGCTTTCTTTTTTGGTCGTCAATGCTTGCCCCTGGTTAATGCTTGTTCTTTGCTCTTGCTAATGGTTGATCTCCCCCTTCGTTCCTTGCTGATTTTTCTGTGCGAGAGCCCCCTGATTATTTCTTCTTCTTCACCGAATCTCCTTTGGTGAGATTTTGATTGGAGCTGGTCAAGTGAAATCTCGAAATTTTCGGGATTAGGTTGGTTGCTTTTCGGTGGATTGATTCTTTGACTTTGGAGATGATATTTGGCAATGTAATTGTGGCAGGTTTCACGCATGGATGTGGACAGCACTGAATCAAACATGCATCTATGGTGACTGGCGGGTCAGATCTTGTAATCGGGTTTGGATTCACTCGTGGGGGTGTAGGAATTGGCAAGACCAATGCAGTTTAATCAATTAGCTGTTGGAATCTCTATTGGGGTACGACATATGCAGTACTTGGTTAACATGAGAGGCCTGGGTGAAGCGCGAGGGTGCAGGATTGCTTTTGTCGTAGTGGACTTGAGCTTCAGGCCTACATAAAATAATATAATTTGTATTAATAATAATAATATATAATTAATATTTATAATAATTTTTAAGTCCGGTTAAAAACGAGTGTTTACAGATTTGTTATTTTTTAATGTTGGATAATTAATTTATTGGGCTCATAGTGAGCTGGCCCATAAGTGATTTAATTGGATTATTAGGGGTTGTTTGTTTATTTCAAAATGATTAAACGTCGAATAATTCAAATATTGAATGATTCAGAAGTTCTGTATGAATTGATTCTGAATGTGAAATATTGTTTGATAATAGCTTTGAATCATTCAGAATGTACTTTTGTGTTAAAATCATTTAGCACTGTTTCGTTGAATCAGTCAGCACTAAATCATTCTGAGGTACGAAACAAACACGTTGAATGCTGAACGGTTCAACATTCAATGCTGAATGATTCTATTAAGAGGTAAATAAACAATCCCTTAGACTTGGTTTCGTAGTATTATTATTCATTTTAGCATTTAAAGTTGATCAACAAAGCATTTTATTATATTTTATTCAATTAAATAAAAAATCCTAATCTATAAACTCCACCGTCATTCAATCCTTCTTCGACCATCATTCGGTTAAAAAATATTTTAATAGATTTTATATACTAGTATTATATTTTTATTTCTTATTTTATATAATTTTTAAATAAAATAATTAAAATTTATAAAATTAAAGTTGAAACAAATATTTTGTAAAAATTATATATAATTTTTTATCACTTCAGATTTGATTTTTATTGAATATATATATACCTCTTATACAATATAAAACTTCTTTTAGTTTTATATAGATTTAGGACCGTTGGATAAGTGAAAAACAGATGATTAAAAATAGGAAATATAAAGATATTTACCGGAGAAAAAAATAAAGAGTCAATTTTAGTCATATGTTTTTACTTATTCAACATTCTTAAACTTGTATAAAATAGGGTCAATTACACGTGAATTTAATTTTTATTACATAATAATAACAATAACAATAATAATAAAATAAATAAAATTACAACCTCAAAATACCTTCTTCACTATAGCATCAACATCAAACAAGGGAAGAAGACTAGCCGAAGGTTTATCTAATATTATAAAGGTGTCATGTTGATTTTGAATTAGATCCATTAAAGGATCCGTATATTTATTCCTCTAACAGACGATATATATCTCATAGATTCAACTCTTTGATAAACAAATTTAGTTGAAAAAAATTAAATGCATTTTCTTTTAAATGATATTGTTATTATAAGTAGAGCACAAGACTTTTAACCTTGGGTCGTGGGATCGAGTCTCACGGAGGGTATTTAATAATTCGGAGGTCTCCTACGGAAGCTACTCTCAACCTGGCGTTGGGACAACCTACTATCATACCTCCCTTTACCCATTACATATGGGAATAAGGGTCAACTAATTTTTTTATTATAAGAATATTTTATATTTTAGATATGATATACTTTCATATGGTATTTTTTATATCTTTTGAAATTTCTTTAAGTGTTAGAAATTTAAATATACAAATCATAAGCAAGCAAGTCATAGAAGCATATATTGGGAGGCGAAATCAAGGCTTTAAATTGGGTTATAATTGTAGCAGGTTTAATAAAAGCATGGATGCTGCCGACTAGTGTTAACATTCAAGAATTTGAACTTGTAATATCAAATTTAAATTTTATTACAGTTAATCTTAGTGAAAATTTTATAAATTCTTATATAAATCATAATTGGGTCTCAAGTATACATTGACCTTGAACTAGAGTTTTTGTATTAAAAAAAAAGGAATGGAGGCTACCACCACGGTGTTTGAATGGGGTTGAGCGGCTGAAGGTCCAAACAGACAACTGCACGAACGCCACAAATTATTTATTTAATTAAATTAGTAATGTTTTGAACATTCATTTGGCAAATAATACGATTGACGTTAGAAGCAAAAATGATACCATGGAATTAAGACGTTTACTTAATCTTTTACCAACTCTTCCAAGCTGGCCTACCTATTTCTCTGCCACGATTCTGTCTATTTTGCGTGTCCCAGAGGATGATTTTTTTGGCAATCTTTTTAACTCTCTCCCAAGTAATTAATGTTTGACTGTCAATGTCAAAATATCAAATAAAATATATTTATATATAAATGTTATTTTTAAAGTAACGTTTTGTATGATTTTATTGATTAGATGGATACAAAACTAGATATTTGCTAGAGGTCTTGTTAGAAAACAATATATTTTGATATATGGAAATATATTGTTAAATTATTTTTTCTTATAAATAGAATATTAAAAATTAGAAAGACCTTTCTATAATTAATCCTTTATAAAAGTTCAATTTTAATTGTGGACAATGGTGGATGTACTTGATGTTAGGGTGGGTATGTACACATCTTGAAGTTTTCTGAAATTCTAATTTTTTTCTTTGAAATTTGAATTTTTTTATTAATATGTGTGCTCATTCTAAAATTTTATCTTATTCATCTAGATATAAAAAATTTATATTATTAATATGTGTTCACCCTTAAAACATTTTCTAGATTCGCCATTGCAATAGGAGTATAATTATGATATGTATTTTTTTAAAAAATAATGAATATAAGAATTAATTTTGTTTTATATTTTTTTTGTTACAAAGAGTTTAGGTCAGGGTGACTTCTCTAGTCCAGCGGTGGTAAGATTCGAACTTGACCTTATAAACTCAAATTCTTGAATCTCAATTACTTGTGCCATACTCGTTGACCAATTTTGTTTTATATTAGAATAATAAACCTATAAAACTTTTGCCTTCCATCCCCGATTATATTAAACCTATCGCTGGAGATCATTTCTTGTTGAAAAATCGATCTTCTAAGTATTTTATGTCATTGTTGACCTAAATCAAGAAGAATCTATTCTTTCTTTTCGATAAACTTCGCCCAATTCGTTGTCACCTTATATATGATCGTCGCATGCTCTTGTTGTCGTTTGCGTCGAGTACCACTAGTCGTTTTCCCTTGTTTTTAACATGTCTATAGATTGATTGAAAATCGTGAACTAGGGATGTAAATGAGACGAAATAGACTGTGAGCTACTCGAGATCAAATCGGTTAAAACTCGATAAATACTAAACTCAAATAGACTCGACTCGAGCTCAACTCAAGTTCTTAACAAGCCCAAGAATGAGACTACACTATTGGTTGGGGCGCTGCCGCCCCCCCAAAATTTAATAAATTATGTATTTCTTTTCCAAAATTTATAATAAATGTATTTAATAAATGAGATTATCACATATTTTATTTTTATTTTATTTACCCACACCAAAATTAAAAAAGAAAATGATTTAGTAGATAATATTTAATTAATGGATCAATAAATATCATTAATATGATTTTGTGAATGTTGTTTATCTGTGTGGTTCAATGAATGTATTGCAAAGCCTTAGAATCTAGTCCAACTTATTTAATTTGTAACCCCTAGACCCATCCTAGGAGTTGTAATTGAATCAGGGTGACCATGTTAATCACATAAATGATTCACAGATGAAATATTTTTAATAAGTCATTTAAAAAAACATTTACCTAATGTGATATCAGAATTAACTCATGTCACATTTAAAGAGATCAAAACTAAATTTTAAACCTCATATAGTATACAATTGAGATTACACATCCGATAGCCAAATTGGTCCTATAACTAGATAATCTGAAGAAAAAAACAAAAATAGAATGAACTACAAAGCTCAGTGTGTTCTCTAAAGTAAAACATGTATCAGTGACATACCATAAATAAATAAACATATTATAAAGATGCAATTTGAATTCAGATAGAAATAAATCAATTGACCATTATAGGAAGGTTATAACAGAAAACTCTTACAACTTTACCTTTTGCCGCGTTTAATAGGATAGGGTCATTCCCTCCAAAGAGGATCTCAAACGGAAACAGGACGGGAATATAATCCCATACAGAGTAGGACGGTGATATAATCCCATGTAGAATCAGGACGGGGATATAATCACATGCAGAGTCGGGACATGTATACAATACCATGTAGAGTCAATACTGAGATATAATCCCATGCAGAGTCAGGACAGGGATACAATTTCATGTAGAGTCAAGATGGAGATATAATCCTATATAGAGTCAGGAAGGGGATATAATCCCATACAGAATCAGAAATGCATCAATATACATATTATAAGTGATGCACCATTATTCAGTAATCAGACATATCATAGATAAATACAATCAGATTATGAACCTGCTTACAGATAGTAACATATAACATAACAGCACAACACATCAAATGTATCAAACAAGTCAAAGGGACACACCTATAGTAGCTAATCAACACCGGCTAAGCCTTATGCTTCCCATGATCGTCGCACTAGGTACTATGGAAATGGGCCTAAAAATAAAACTACTATATGAATATAGATGTCAAACATCTAAAAAAACTATAAAGTCACTACATAAAACTTACGCTCGAGACGAGTGAGTGAAATCGAGCTGAGTGAAACGGGAGTGATTGGTGTCTACTAGAGATTTATTCAGAGACATGAGAGCACATTCAGAAAATAACACCAAAAATTGAGTCCAAAATCTCACATTTTACTTAACATAATTAAGACTTTACGCGATAAATGACGTAAAACGTGGCCTTTGGGGTTAGAATTTGGCAGAAAGAACTTAGGACGTTGAAAAACATTAAGTTATGAGTTTTCAAAAGTCAATCGGCCAATGTCAAAGTCAAAGTCAACAGTTAACAGTCAGTGATTAATAGTTAACGGTCTGATTCGACCAGTGGTTTAGTCAAACTAGTTCAGGGTCACATCGATTTAGTCAGACTTGTCTAGTCAAACTAATTTAATGTCTGAACAGACATAACAAAACCCACTCGTGCATAACGGCGTGTGGGATTCATGAGGCCTCCTCTAGTGGGAAAAAAGTTATGGAAAAATTCTTAAAGTTATTTTTAAGGCACGAGGAGTTACTTACAAATGTCGGTTTTCTGAAAAGATCGACAAAGATGGGGTTTTAACGAAACCTGAATATTCAAACCTTCACTGATTGTAAACAATGAGAGAGAATGATAAACCAAGAACATCGGATGAACGAGGTCAACGAGGGAAACAAAATGGTGCCATAGGTGTCGAACACCACCATAC